AGATTTTAATTTTTATTTGTCGGAGTGGGGAGAGGTAGGCAGAGGGAGAAGCAGAATCCCCACTGAGCAGGGAGCCCAATGTGGGACTTGATCCTGGGACCGTGAGATCATGACCTGAGCTGAAGGCAGACTCTTAACCCACTGAGCCATGCAGGGATCCCCAGAGTCTGGATCTGAGGTTGGACCAGAAGTGCCTTGATGGTTCTAGAGTTCCAAAAGGCCCAGTTAGAGCAAAAAGCCAGTGACGGTGGGTATTAATTAGAGGCCCAGATTCAGTTGGACCAAAGAGTAGTCAGCAGAATTTCCATTCCAAATACGACCAGAGGGGTATTGATGATGGAATAGTTGAAAAAAGCTCAGGTTCAATGTCAGAGAAGAAGAGGAGTGATAATGGAATAGTTAACAGACACATGATTTCTGAGGTCTGCCTAGAGGGGAACTGATGCTACAAGTGTTACCAGTGTCCTAGGTTCAAGGTCAGATCGAAGGAGCAATTATAGGAAAATAGTTAATAGAGGCCAGGGTTCGAGGTAAGATCATAGGGGTATAGAGTGGTACAGTTTCTTGAAGTCAAGTGAGAGGAGCAGTGAGTGTGGGAAAGCCCATGGAGGCTCAGGTTTCAGACCTGAGGTGCAGTGATATTCAGTTAACTGAAGCCCGGATTCAAGGACAAAGAGTTATTGATGGTGGAATTATAAATAGTCTCAGAGTTTAGACCTCTGTAGCACTGATGGGGGAAGAGTTAAAAAGACTCAAGTTCAAAGGAAAACCAGGGATGCTTGGGTGACTGAGTTGATTAAGCATCTGCCTTTGGTTCAGGTCGTGATCCCAGGGTCCTAGGATTGAGCCCTCTCTGGGCTCTCTGCTCAGCGGGGAGCCTGCTTCTCCCCCTGCTTGTGCTCTCTCTGACAAATAAATAAATAAAATCTTAAAAAAAAAAAAAAACTAAAAAACAGAGGCCCAGGACCGATGGTGGTAAAGTTATAAGTGTCTGCCACCACTCTCTGTCACCAGAGAGGAACTGGTGAAGGAAACATTAAGAGATGCCCAGATTTGAGGTTAGACAAGAGACAGTGACAGTAGACCAGTTAGTTACAGAGGACTGGTCTGACGTTTGGACCACACAGGCATCAATGGTAAAATAACTGGGGCACCTGGGTGGTTCAGTTGGTTAAACATCTGCCTTTGGTTCAGGTCATGATCCCAGGGTCCTGGGATCGAGCCTCGCATCAGGCTCCTTGCTCAGCTGGGAGTCTGCTTCTCCTTCTCTCTGTCCCCTCTGCATGCCCTGTTTCTACGTGCTCTGTCAAATGAATAAATAAAATCTTTAAAATAAATAGACAAATAATGGCAAAATAATTAATGGAGGCCCAGATTCAACGTCAGGACTGAGGGTCCTCATGGTTGGAATGCTTGCTGAAGCAAAGGGGCACTGATCACAAATGAACAGAATCTGAAATTCAAGGTCAGATCAGAAGACAAGAGCTGGTGGGACATTATACAGAGGCCCTGGTTTGAGATTTGGCCAGTGGGACACTGATGAGGTAGTAATTAACAGGGGCTCTGCTTCAAGCTCAGACTAGCAAGGCTATCATGAAATAAACACATGGGTTCAAAGTCAAAGACTAGAATGGCATTGATGATGGAATGGTTAAGAGTTCAGATCTGATGTCACACTGGAGGCACAGTGACGATGAACAAGTTAACAGAGGCCTAAATTTGACAAATAAGATGATTTTTTAAAATTGTTTGCTCATTACTTATTTCCTTATAGGTTGTAAGTCAAGAAAAGGTATCACAAAAATGATTTTAAAGTAGAATGTCAGGGGCGCCTGGGTGGCTCAGGTGGTTAAGCGTTTGCCTTTGGCTCGGGTCATGATCCCAGTGTCCTGGGATCGAGTCCCACATCGAGCTCCCTGCTCACTGGGGAGCCTGTTTCTCCCTCTCCCTTGGCCTGCTGCTCTGCCTACTTGTGCCCTCTCTGTGTCCAAAAAAAAAAAAAAAAAAAAGTAGAATGTCAGGATGAGGTGCCTGGGTGGCTCAGTCGGTTAAGCGACTGCTTTCGGCTCAGGTCATGATCTCAGGGTCCTGGGACCAAGCTCCGCATCAGACTCCCTGCTCAGTGGGGAGCCTGCTTCTCCCTCTCCCTCTGCTGCTCTGCCTGCTTATGCTCTCTTGCTCTGTCAAATAAATAAATACAATCTTAAAAAATAAATAAGTAAATAACGTGGAACCTCAGTCATATGTGACTTCTGATCTCAGGGTCATGAGTTCAAGCCCTACGTTGGCCACAGGGTTTACTTTAAGAATAAAAATAAAATAAATAAAATAAAGCAGAATGTCAACTCTGCCACCTCAAAACTTCACGGGAAAGAAACCCCCCAAATCATGTATAACAATATCCGTGATTAGCCATCTTGAATTCCGATTCAATAAACAACATGAAGAATGTGAAGAAAGTAAGAAGGTGCTTGGGCGCCTGGGTGACTCAGTTGGTTAAGCAACTGCCTTCGGCTCAGGTCATGATCTTGGGAGTCCTGGGATAGAGTCCTGCATCGGGCTCCCAACTCCATGGGGAGTCTGCTTCTCCCTCTGACCTCAGCTCTCATGCTCTCTCTCACTCTCTCCCTCTCAAATAAATAGATCTTAAAAAAAAAAAAAAGGTGCTAGAGAAAAATGAGGTTCCCCCAAGTGATCTTGGCTGCCACTGACCTTGGTTGAAACGGAGTGGCTTTTTGGTGTTGCACAGTGTGCAGAGTTAACACAGCAGGCCTGAACTTCTCTCCTGGGAAAGGCCTGCTTCAAGGATGGCCCTTGGCTGGCACCTGGAAACTTAAGTGTCTTTCAACAGGGTTCTCACCACTCTCTAAATGATGAGTGGCTCACTGTGCCTCAACTGTTCATACACACACTCTGGTTTATGCTGAACACCTGCTTTCCTTCCAGGACAGTCTGGAGTTGGGTATGTGCCAGGCAGGAATCCCCCCTGTGTGACCACCCCCCAGAAGCAACCCTGGGCACTCAACCTCTAAGAATGAGCTTCTCTGGTTGTCAGGTGGCGTGACAGGGGTAATTAAGCACATCCTGTGAGTCCACTGGGAGAGGACCCTTGCGAGCTCATGCCTGGTCTGCCCTGGAGTTCGCCCCGGGGCACCATTTCCCTTTGCCAATTGTGTTCTGTGTCTTTTTACGGGAAGAAATAAAAGGTGTGTATGCAACCATAGGCTGGGACCAAGAGTTCTCCCAGCAGATCTTGAGTCTGGGTGGTCTGGGGGACCTCTGACGCCTACAGACGCATGAACTGCGTCATGAACGTTCAGCTCACTGATGTCCCTACCTCCTCACCATTTACCATAAGGTCAAGGTGGAAGCACCGCGTAGAAATGCTTCCGCCTGCAAGTTAACCACACTGTTATTAACGCTGGCTTCAACAAACCAGGGATTTCTTCCCCTCCAACAAGACTGCTAGTGTTAGTTCGGTAGCTCGATAACGTTGGGTAGGGTTGGAGTGCCTGTGGCTCTGTGGATGGACCCTGAGGTCTCAAGATTGTAGGCCCCAGCTCCTACTGATGCATCTGGATATGGCAGCCTATGCAGCTGGAGGGAAGGGAGCAGCTGGAGCACCTCCTTGGCATTTCTGGCAACTTTGACATTTCCTGGTGACTGAGGTCATTGACAAGGGCTTTTGGTTCTCTTGGCCCCTGTTACTATCCTAAGCTTTCTCTCCTCACTTGAGGGTCCCCACAAACATGAACATCACTTTACAGACTCTGAGCTGTTCTGGGCCTTGAATTTGGGCCCTGGGTTGGCATGGAAGGAGCTACGGGTGGTCTGGGGTTCCTCTGGGGATAGAGAGAGAATCCCCATTCCCTCCCCCCATCAGCAAGAACCACCAGCTCAGGCTTAGGGTCCATGGTTGCTTCTGCATGGGTTTTGTACTCCACATCCTCAACTCATCTGGTCCCTGTTTGTGGGGAAGAGCCTTGGGGAGGGGGAAGGGGAGCTGGAAGGCCTCAGCCCTCCTGAGGAGCCAGCAGAGCCCTATAGACTAACAGCATGAAATTCTCGTGGTAGAAGCCAATATTCCCCATCTCAGCTCCCACTTCCCCCACCTGCGTCCCCATCACTGCTCACCTCAACTCCTGTGGGGCCTTGTGACTGGCCCCCCTGCTTCTGCCCCTGCACCCCCCTCCCAAGTCTGTTCTTTTCACAGTACCTGGAGGGGTCCTCTTCCAACCAAATGGGATCGCATCCCTCCTCCGCTCATTCGGGTGACTCACCTCTCACTCAGAAAAAGCCCAAGTCCTCACTGTGGCCACAGAGCTCTCCAGGATCAGGCCTGTCTGACCTCATCTCCTACCATACTCTGGTCCAGCCACACCTGCCTCTTCAGTGAGCCCTCTGGCACACTCCGGCCTCAGTGCCTTTGCACTCACTGCCTTTCCTCTCCCCCCCACCCCGCAGCTCTCTCTCACTTCATTCAGGTCTTTGTTTCAATTTCACTACCAGGAATGTCATTGTCTCTCATCACAGCACCAAAAATAGTACAATCTTCCGCTCCTATGCCCTTATGTCCTGCCCTCCCAACACAGGCCATGATATATTTTTGCCTACCAACCACCTGCCATTGAACACGAGCCCCGCGAAGGCAGGCACTTCTGTCCGTTGAGGTCACGGCTCTACCGCCCCTCAGTGCCTAGAACGGTTCTGGTGCCCAGCAGGTGCTCAATCATGTCTGTCCAATGCCAGACTGAGCCAAACACTTACAGGGGGGCCCGTGACGGGGAGGCATTCAATGACCGGTTGCTAAGTGAGGAAATTGATGCCTGAAGGCGCGAGCAAGGGAGCGAACCCTGTGCCAGCTCGGGTGCTAGAGCCACCCCCCCACCCCCCACCCCAGCGGACCTGGGAGCCAGCCACAGGCACAACCACAGGAACTTTATTTACAAACACAAGGCTGGAGTGGGAGATGGGTGGGCAGGCGACCCGGCAGGACCTACTTCTGCTCCCGCCTCCAGACGATGACCATGCCGCTGGCGTCGCTGGAAGCCAGCAGACTCTCGTCACAGTTGAAGCTCACGTCCAGCACGGGGGCGCTGTGGCCCTGAAGCTTGTTGACGGCAGCCTTGGCGGCCCGCTCCACATCGAAGAAGTGCACACACATGTCCTCGCTGCCGGTCACTGCCCAGGGTAGGGGGGGGGGGGGGCGTTGGGAGGTGGTGGCAGAGGCAGCAGGGTGCCCTGGGAGGGACAGTCCCTGGACCTGGGTCACCTGGCTGTTTTAGTCCCGTGTCCAGAGTGTGAGGTGTCTGAGCTGTTGGGGGTTGGGGGGGGGTAGGCTGTGTCTCACGTTGTGAATTTCCTGGACTCTTGGGGGTCTTTGTTCAAAGCGGGAGGCTGCTGGGGTGAGAGCTCTCGAGGCCCGTAAAGTCTGGGCACCAGAGGGCCGGGGTGTCCATCCCTGCCCTGCCCCAAGCCACCCAGACACCCCGAACTCTGCGGGACTCACCCACACAGGCCCCCTGGCGGAAGGACATGAGGGGGCAGAAGATGCTGCGCACAGGGTGTGAGCTCTGCTCAATGGGGAAGCTTCTCTTCAGCTGCAGCGTCCCCTCGTTGTCCACCACCCTGAGGGAAGGATGGCATGGGTCAGGGCGTCGCCTCAGCGCTGGCCGGCAGTGAACGGGGTGGGGGGTGAGGGGGGGCAATGGTTTGTGTCCCCACCCCCATGCCCGAGTTCTTTCCAAGGCTCACGAGGTCTGGTTTTGAGGCGACTGCATAAACCTATCAAGCAGGGGTGGCACATGCGTTCGTGAGGGTCTGGAAGCTACCTGGCGGTGGAAATGGGGAACCTAGGCAGCATGGTTTGCTGGTTTCTCTTTCTTAAAGACCCTGGTGGTTAAGATGGGCACAAGGAGGGGACAGGGCCGACCAAACTGGACCACCCCCCATACCATTCGAAAGAATGGATGAGACAAAGGCACTGCAGGGGGCCTGGGAGCTGTTCCAGAAGCATCCTCTGGTGAGGAGCGCAAGATGTGGGAGAGGATGGAGGAGGAGCCTGCTTCCATGAAAAGACCCTCCCTCCGAAATGTGGGGAATGGGGGCGCACGCCTCGGATTACAAGGAGAGAACAAAATAGGAAGGGGCACACAGAGTCATTGGCCGAGGTGGCAGAAGAGGGAGGAGGGAAGGGAGAAGATGGGGGGGAAGAGCCCCGCATTTGGGAGTATGCCTAAATTAAGAATTACACATACGACTATGTGCGTGTGTGAATTTCTTTTTTTTTTAAAAAGCAGAAAAACAAAAGAGTACAAAAGGAAACATCTTGCCGGGCGGTGCCTTTCAGGCCTGGCTGGACATTGCTGGGGGAGCTTTTCAGTACACCAACGCACCCAGTCCCGCCGCAGGGCTTCTGAAATCACCGGCCTGGAGTGGGGCCTGGCCATGATTCTGTGAAGCCCTCCGGGTCATTCTGGTGTGCAGCCCAGGCTGAGAACTGCGTTTGAGTAACATGTCATAGGTGAGCGGGGATAGTAAATTCCTCCACTCAAAAACACCAAAAAGGAAAAAGAGGAAAAAAAAGGGAAGGATGGAGGGAGGGAAAGAGGAAGGAAGAAAGGAAGGAAGAACAGGCCACTGCTCTGAGAGGGCCCTAGTCTATTTTATGCCTCAGGTGGCTCATCTGTGAAATGGGCACAATCACAGGCCCCTTCTCACAGCGCTGTTCTGAGGATTAAGTGGAGCACTAGGTATGAGGCGTTCCCCCAGGGCCTGGTGGCAGCCCTCGCTCCATCAGCACCAGCTACTTCTGCCACCACTCCTCCCACTGACAGCCGGCATAATCGTCAGGAGACCTGATTTCCCTGCTCACTCAAATTAACCTGATGGAGGAGACAGGCTCTCAGGCCCTAGCCACGCCAGTCCGATGGCGGCGGCAGGCCCCGCCTCTCCTGGCGACCTGGAAGGGGAGGACCCACCTGTAGAGCAGCAGCTTGTTGAGGCAAGCGTTGATGAGCAGCGAGGGGTCCCGGGCCTCGCGGCTGACCCAAGAGCGCGCGGAGATGCTGGTCACGGGGCTCCCCTCATGCACCACCAGACGCTTGGCTTTGGTCAGCTTCCCTGGAACGACAGAGGAAGAGGGGACACAAATAAGAGGCTGTGTGCTGGGACGGTGGCAGCCCGAATACCCCAGATGCAGGCCTGGGGCTGGCCTACCTGTGGCCATGTCGAAGAGGAAAGAGAAAACACTGCCACGGTCATCGCCTGCCCAGAGCAGCCGGCCAGGGGCATCGAAGGACAGAGCGAGGACCCGGCCTGTCAGCTTGCTGGAGCCCCCCTTCACTTTCTTGCCCGTGGAGATGTTCATGACGTGTACGTTGTGTTTGGCATTCCCCACCTGTGGGGGAGACCAAGCACACCACACACTGCTCTCAGCCTGCCCCTCCTTGGGTCTGACCACGACGGAGCAGCTGTCGATGGAACTGGCTGGTTCCTACTGGAATCTAACCCTGGGGCGGCTGCAGCGGGGAGACTGGGAGGTGACCGAGGTCTGTGATCCTTCAGAACCAGAGCCAGCCCCCTCTTGCCATCTAACCAGGATGGGCAGCTGCCCCTTAGCATGCCCCCCAACCCTGTGACTGGCAAACCACAGGGCCATCCCAGGCTGGTAAGGACAGCCAGTCTGCTTCCTGACTGGTCCTCGCCAGAGACTTGACCACACTGGGGCCATAGCTGCAGCCGAAGGAACCCCAGAATGCAACAGGCTCACTCAGCCGGTCCCCTCTCTGCCACTCGGGGCCTGGCCAGATTTTCACTTCTTTTCCCCGCCCTCTGACTCTCAGTCCTGGGGTCAGACCGCAGTGGAGCTGTGCCACTGGGAGGAGCCCAGTCTTCCGACTAGCCATCCTGCCGCACAACCAGTGGCCCCCGTGGCTGGAGAACAGCAGCCCTGCTGTTGATGGGACCGGAGGAATACCAGAGCTGGGACTCTGGCTCCTGACCAGTCCCCCCCCTGGAGTCTGTCACAGCAAGCCAACCCAATGTCAAGCACAGTGGCCCGGTTCTGACCTATTTCTCTCTGAGTCTGACCGCATGGACTGTGATGAGGAACTGGAGGGGACCCCCCCCCCACACCCATACTGACTCCCCGGGACGGCTCTCCAGGCCCGGCAGCCCCACCCTCGGTGAGCGGCACCCTGAAGCCTGACCACTGTGAGGTTGTTGTTGACCGGCTGGAAGGTGCAGCAGAGCAGTTCGGCGCCGTCGGGGTCAGGAATCTCCCGGATGCAGCGGCCGTCCTCAGAGGCCCAGATGCGCATGGTAGCGTCGAGCGAGGTGGACACGAGGATGTCGTTGGAGAGGGACCAGGCGAAGTCAGAGACACCGCGGGTGTGGCCCCGCAGCACGCGGAGCACTGTGGGCGGGGCGGGCACCAGCTGGCACAGGGAGATGCTGCCGTCCAGGGAGCAGCAGGCCAGGCGGTGCCGGTCGTCGTTGGCAAAGCGCACTCTTGGAACTGCAAATGCCAAGAAGCCGCTGGTGGGACACAGCACACTCGCCAGGTGCTTTCATTTATAAAAGGCTCTGCTGTGCGCACTGGGGGCTGGAACCCACTGAGCCAAGCACGGGGGCTTCTGCAAAAGGCTTTCCTTGGCTGAGAACGGGAGTGGGAACCCTAGAAGGCCCTCTGCCAAAAGCTCCCTACACTTTAGCCAGTGTTTTACAGTTACCAACGTCTCAGCGGTTTGCAAAGCCTGCGCTGCCCATTGTGAGGGGATTTCTCTGTAGCCAAGGCTCTAAACTCTTTCAAGCAACTCATGACCCCGGAAGCCTTCTGCAAAGTCCTCTTTTGAGCTGCCGGGCCCTTTTACGATAGCCCAAGTACTTGAGATCTTGTGGGCCGCTTTACTTTGCAAAGGGCTTGTGGGCTTGGGGAGAGGTTTAGGGATGGCAACTCCTCCTTCGGAGGTGGGCCAGAGACTCTGAGTTGCAGAAGGGGATGCACTGAGTAGCTGTCCCAGTTCGGGAAAATGAGTGGTGAGGGGACCCGCTACCTGCTGGCTTACCTGCCTCATCCACGTGTTGGTCGAAAACATGGTACATGCCCGCAAAGGCGTAGTTCTCACTCAGCGATGTATCCCCAGCCATGGCACGACTTGCTTCTGCTGCTGATGTGGGTACCACACTGCCAGGGGGCCTGGGCCCCAACAGGAGTTGGGGGGGGGTAACATGAAGTAGGTGCTAGCATTCAGGCCCTATGGTCCCTCTCCCCCTTACAGACCCCAGCTCATAACTGCCCCTTGCATACCTGTCCTCATAGACGGCACGGTTCATCTGTGCCTGCAGCTGGTAGGAGCCTCGGCTGACGGAACGGCGGTGCCCACGGGCCCCTAGGGCCCGAGGATCATCCTCAAAATCCTGCAAATGGAAGGTCAGGGTGGGCACATCTTAAAGATGGTCCTCAAGAACATGTGAGGTCTGGAGTCTTCAAAATATACCCAGAACCAGATCCCTTCTCACCCTACCCACCACCATGACCATGGCCTATACTACCGGGGTGGCCTCGGCACTAGCTCCCCACTGAGTGGATACTCAATAAATATTCTGTGAGGAAAGAATGGACACTTTCCCCCTGAAAACCACTCAGAGCCAGCTCTTGCTTCATTCCAGCCTTAGCTCAACTGTCACCTCCTCGGAGAGGACTTTCTTGATCGTCCCCATCAGAAATAGCTCCCCTCTGTTCCCCACAGGAGTCTCATTTTACCCCCAAGCCTGCTTTACTTTTCCATCTTAGTAAGCCATGTTAATTATTGATTTATCTGGCTTCGCATGTCTCTTGACCCATTTATCTTGTTTATTGCCTATTTATCAATGTGTTCATCTTGTCTGTTGTCCATTTATTGAGTTATCACGTTATTATCTTTTTAAAAAAGATTTTATTTATTTGTCAGAAAGAGCACACAAGCAGGCAGAGACGGAGAGAGAAGCAGGCTCCCCACCGAGCAAGAAGCCCGATGCGGGACTCGAGGTCCCAGGACCCTGAGGTCATGACCTGAGCCGAAGGCAGCGGCTTAACCAACTGAGCCACCCAGGCATCCCATGTTATTATCTCTTTCTGCCCTTTGCTTCTCCTAAGAGCCTGGCACGGTGCCTTGCACAGAGCAGGTGCCCGACAAGTGTGCTGAGTGAATGCATATGGACACGGGTGGTGTGCATGGCTGGCAGTGTGGGGAGGAGCTCACCTCCATGCGGTCTAGGGTAGTTCGGCTGCTGCGAACGATGCTGTTGCTGTAGGCACGGGCACTGCCTGGCTCGGAGAGGGGCCCGTATCGCTGGCCCAGCAGCTGCCCACGCAGCCTCAGGTACTGCCGACGCAGCGCTGGGGGGTGCCCAGCCTTGGCATTCTCCCGCAGCAGCTGGCTGCGCCGTCGGATGTACTGTGTCCGAAACTGTGGAAACGTTGGTGTGCGGTACGCGTTGTACCTATGATGGCAGGACGCAGGACGGGCAGCAGGCACAGGATAGAGGGAATCAATCAGCCCAGGGGACAGGGAAAGAGAGTGAGGTGTGTGGCAGCGAGGGGTCAGGAGGACAAGTGATCAGCAGTGGTGATGGGGGTCCCTCTGGTGCTGTGATGAGAGTGGATCTACAGTAATAAAAGGCATGGTGATGAGGTCACTGTGCTGACAATGGAGGCCGTCTGCAGCTTTGCTGGAGTTGGTATGGGGTGACTGAGTCAGTGTAGACAATAGCAGGCGTCAGGGTGACATGGTGATGGGGGGGGTCAGTGTAGGCAATGGTGGAAGTCAGGATGGGATGGCGATGGGGTCAGATTGGGGAAGTGATGATGGTAAGAGAAGGCTGCGGGGGGGGGCAATGGTGGGGAATAGGATGTCACCAGCCTGAGCTCCATCATCCCCTTCCAAAGGCTCTGACAGTACAGCCTCTTTGCGCACGCCCAGATCTGGCTGCGTTTTCCCCGCATGCTCTTTTCGACCCTCTTGCCAGCCCTACACGCCCCCACACCCTGCTACTGCGCATGCTCACCTCCGGCATGCCCACGCAGCCGCATAAAACCAGTTCTCCGCCCAGCCTCACTTATCGCCATTGCGCATGCACCACAGTAACTTCCGCTCCCATGGGCTTCGACCCCACGCCTCACCTCGCGTCTACTGCTAAGACCTGCTGCCACACCGCGGCCATTCCCCGGCCTCCTCTTCTGGCGTGTCCGCCCGCGGGAGCCTGCAGGACAAGGGCCTGGAATGTCAAAGTTTCAAGTGAAGGGATTTAATTCCGCCCCTTCTGTCAGACGATCTTTGCCGTAGACACCAAGTCCCTCGACGCCGGGACGTCGCGAAATACCACCCGGCAGCTAGCATGGTCATCACCCCAGCCCTGCCCTGCTTTGCCCTTCCCGGGCAGTTCCCGGAAGACTCACAACAGCGATTCAGATCTGATCCCGCCCCTCCCCGGTCACCATAGCGACGCCCCTCCTCCCGTCTAGCAATCCTTCTTGGCATTCCCCATCCCCCGCCGCCCTCCGCCTTCCCTTCTCAGGTTCAAGAGCAGAGCCGGGGATCAGAGACCACCTCCGGGGCTGCCTCCGGCTCTTGAGGCCCCCGGGGCGGCCCTGAGACCAGTGTCGCCCTTTCCTTCTCTCGGCTCCCTCTCTCAGGCTCCAGCAAGATGGCCGCCTACTGCCAGGAAGAGCTGCCAAGCCCAGAGCGAATGGATAGGAATCTTTCCCAGGGCGTGGGAGAACCACGCAAGCGCGCTTTGGGACAGTAGCTTCCGGTACTGGATGGAGGCTCCACCCCTTAAGTTCTACCCACCCCACCCCCAATTCCTAATGGCACTTTTTGTATACACAAGAATAATGTCCAGGAGTCAGAGAGACGGTCGAGTATGCGAATCACTCCCCCCAAATTAGAAATACGACTTTCTTTTGAAACCGTGGAATAAACTTAGCACAATCTTGGCTAAGCAAGATTTGAAGCATGGGAGGGACCCCCATCACCACTGCTGATCACTTGTTATACCATCAAAAATAATCACACATGCAGAGGCTCCTAGGCTGTTCTCCAGTTCTTAAAGTGATTGATGAGCATCCAGACAACCCTGGGATGAGAGTAGTCTGTTCTGTGGTGGGGGTGTGTGTGGGGTGGAGTTGGATGGTCCCAGGAATCTTGGTCTGGGCCTGAGTCTCCAAAGGCAGAAAGCATTTAAGTAGGCACAACAGGCTTTGGATCCCAAGAGGTTATCTGAACCATCCTTATTTCAACTCTAACAGGAAGTTGCAACTCTTAACTGCTTATCCTTTTTTTTTTTTTAAGTAATCTACATCCAACATGGGGCTCAAACTTACTTCCCTGAGATCAGCAGTTGCATGATCTACCAAATGAGCTAGCCAGGTGCCCCTCTATTCATCTTAATGTGGTCAGGATTAAAAGAACTTAAAAAATTGAAATACAAAATCTAGTAGCTTCCTATTGGATCTTAACATCCACTAACTACCACAATTCTCAAAACTTTTATTTTTCACACTACTTTTTATAACATACAATAATCTGAACAGTTTTTTAAAATCTTACTTATTTGTCAGAGAGCGAGAGGGCGTGCACATACACAGGCAGGAGGAGCTGTAGGCGGAGGGAGGAGCAAGCTCCCTGCTAAGCAAGGAGCAGGATGTGGGACCCTATCCCAGGACTCTGGGATCATGACCTGCGCCAAACGCAGAAGCTTAACTGACTGAGCTACCCAGGTGTCCCTAATCTGAACAGTTTTAAAGCCACTTGAAATGAGGAGACACAGAGAGCCTGGGTGGCTCAGTGGATTAAACCCTCTGCCTTGGGCTCAGGTCATGATCCCAGGGTCCTGGGATGGAGCCCCGAATCAGCTTCTCTGCTCAGCGGGGAGCCTGCTTTCTTTCCTCTCTCTCTGCCTGCCTCTCTGCCTACTTGTGATCTCTGTCTGTCAAATAAATAAATAAAATCTTAAAAAAAAGAAGAAGAAGAAATGAGGAGACACATCCAAAACATGAATTGCACTTTGTGTGTTCTAACAAAAATAGACCACTCTGTTTTGGATCAACAGAGCACCTCCCTTGTCCATGTAACTAAGCTGTGGGTGTCTTTAAAAATTTTTTTTAAAAGGTTGTATTTATTAATTTGACAGAGAGAGAGAGAGAGAGAGCGAGCATGCACAAGCAGGGGGAGCAGCAGGCATAGGAAGAGGGAGAAGCAGGCTCCCTGCTGACCAGAGAGCCTGATCCCAGGGTTCGATCCCAGAATCATGACTCCAGCTGAAAGCAGACATTTAACAGTGAAGGTGCCCCTATGTGTGTCTTTTTAAATACCTTCTATTTGATGGTTGCTAAAGAATAAACTGTTTCACTGCACAAACGTATAACCACTAACATTTATTGGCTAATATGCTGGACACATGGTGATCTACATGTATTAATCCATTTAATACTAATAACTGAATGTTCTGGGTCTCCTTACTATCTCCATTTTACAAATGAGGAAAGCTGAAGCCCAGGGAGTTCAAGGGTGACATTTTATTGAACTGGTCTCCTATTTGAGACCAGCATCGGGTTTACTTTCAAGTATTTTTCTTTCCATAAAGGATGCTATGACCAACCTCTTTCCCATTCACACCTTAACCCTCCCTGGTTGGGGCCCCGCCCCTTCATACCACCACTCAGCTTCCAAAGAAACATGGTGGGGAAAAAAGTACAGGAAAGTCAGGGATGCCAGCGACACGTACTCTCTGAACTGCTGGAATTGGTTTTTTGTTGTTGTTTTTACAATATTCTGTATGTTAAAATTTCAAAAATTATTTTTAAAATTTCACTCCTATCATGCTATAAGATACTGGATAAAAACCTAATGATAGGGTTGAGGTAAGTAGGAATGAAATAATGCATAGTAAGTGTTCACAACACCTGTTGTGTGAACGTTTGCTGTTTTTCTGAGAAGTTCTACAGTACTTTTCAGAAGGCAGTATAACTTGGCCACTGCTGTAGGCTCTGCCAAATAGGAGCTGTGATCTTGGGAAAATCACTTAATCCCTTTGTAGCTCAGTCTCCTCATCTGAAAAAAATGGCCTCATAGGGTTATACGGAGGACTAAATGAGTTAATACTTGTAAAGCTTAGAGAGCATCTGGAGAAGAGAAAATACCCACTAAAGGTTGACTGCTTGAGTGCCTGGGTGGCTCAGTCGTTAAGCAGCTGCCTTTGGCTCAGGTCAGGATCCCAGAGTCCTGGCATCGAGCCCCGAATCAGGCTCACTGCTCCGAGGGAGACCTGTTCTCTCTCTCCCACTCCCCCTGCTTGTGTTCCCTCTTTCACTGTCTCTCTGTCAAAGAAAATAAAATCTTAAAAAAAAATAAAGGTTGAATACCATCAGTTGTTTTAAGAACTTTTCCCAATACAGCTCCATCTGCCAGAGGTTGTTCTGGTACAGAAATAATGTGAATTAACAACCACAGCCACCTCTTACATTTGTTTTGTTTTGCGTTTTTTAAAAGATTTTATTTATTTATTTGACAGGGAGAGAGAGATCACAAGTAGGCAGAGAGAGAGGCAGGCAGAGAGAAAGGGGGAAGCAAAGCAGAGAGCCCGATGTGGGGCTTGATCCCAGGACCCTGAGACCATGACCTGAGCCGAAGGCAGAGGCTTAACCCACTGAGCCACCCAGGGGCCCCATATTTTGCATTTTTCTCTAAAATATTTACACACTCTCACTGGGTTAAACAAGGGGTTTTGAACAAGTTGGTGACAGAAGGCACCTTTCAGTTTGCTGGGAGCTTGGCCAGAACGTGGCAGAATTTATTAGCAAGAATGGCAGGCAGGTCAGTGGGTAGGGAAAGGAGGGTCTCAGGTCTGGGGTTATCAAGTCATCAGAGGCAGCTTGGGGAGGCTGGGAGTGACCTTGGTTGCAATCATGACATCTAGAGAAAAAAGCTGAAGCCCATGAAGTCCTACTCTAACAGGACCTGGGGCTGTTTTATTGTCAGATTGATAATTAAGGGTCCTAGACAGAAGAACAAACAGATTTAGACAGAAAAGACTGGAAGCCAGAGCTGTTTGAAGATAACACATCACAATAGGGACTTGAGTGGTGGGAGAAACAGCCAGGGGCTATGTCTTTCCTGGACTCTTCCTTCCTTCCTGTGCCTCCTGCCCATTCAACCCCCACCCCTGGCCCCTAGTTTAGAAATGCAAAGGCAAGCACTGGACCACACTGGCTGCAAACACTTTTCATTACTAAGGCTGACACCAAACATGAAGTTGCGCCCCATCCTCTGGGAGAAAGGGCAGTGCAATTTGAGGGAAAGCCTGGATGGCTTGGGGTGACAAGGGTATGCTGAGAATCAAGACCCAAGAGCAAAATGGGAGACAGAGCTGAGGTGTAACTGGAGTCTAGAGTTCTTTTTTTTTACATTTATTTATTTATTTTTGAAGAGTTTATTTATTTATTTATTTATTTATTTGCCAGAGAGAGAAAGAGACAGAGAGAGACAGAGCACAGCAGGGGAAGCACCAGGTGGAGGGAGAAACGGGCTCCCTGGTGAGCAGGGAGCCCGACATGGGACCCGATCGCAGGACTCTGGGATGGTGTGACCTGAGCCAAAGGCAGACACTTAACCAACTGAGCTCCCCAGGTGACCCTGGAGTGTAGGGTTCTTATTCACTTATCTCACCTTCAAAGTTTCTTCCTAAACGGGACAAGTGGGGGTTGGGACATAAGGTCATAAATTAAATTTTACCATTTCCTGACAAAAAACATTACCTCTGAAGCCAAAGTTCTCCTCATCACCAAAGTTCTTAATGGTAATAACTCTCCATGGCCTGAGTCAGAAACAAGATTCCTGCGGTTGGGAGAAGCCTCACAGACCACTTGAACAGCCCCCGCAGGCTGAAACGGAGAGCCAGCCTGCCAAGCAGCACCTACTTCTCAAGCTCCTACTCGGTGCCAGGCACTGGGAAAACAGTAGTACTTGAACCCACTCTCACGGAGCTGCCACTGTAACTGGACAGATAAACAAGAAGGTCATATAAGAAACTGATACTCAGGGCGCCTGGGTGGCTCAGTCATTAAGCTTCTGCCTTCGACTTGAGTCATGATCCCAGGGTCCCGAGATCGAGAGCCCCACATCGGGCTCCCTGCTTGGTGGGAAACCCATTTCTCCCTCTCCTACTCACCCTGCTTGTATCCCCTCTATTGGTGTCTCTCTGTTAAATAAATAAATAAAATCTTAAAAAAAAAAAGAAATTGGTACTATTGTTAAAATAGAAGTTTGGTTAGTGTTGCTGAGCTGTGGGGGAAGGAAGGAGGGATGAGAAAGACATTTTGGCTGGAAACTGAATGAAAAGGAGCCAGGCACACAGAGCTCTGGATGCTGAGTGTGTGGACAAGGCCAATGAGGCTCGTCAGTGACTGACTCAGAGACGGGAACGTCACTTCACGGGGCTAGAACTGGGGTCAGTCTGCTCTTAAGATCTCAATTCTATTTACTCGGGGAAGGATTTGGGGCCAGATGGTGGGCCTGGGAAAGACTGGACCCTGAGTTTGGTACCTCACTCTCTAGCAATATAGATAAATGGGCACAGCCCTTGATTCTTTACATTTGTTTTCTCCTAATACACTAACTACATCTCATTGCTTTTCGAGTATTTTTAAGATTTTACACACACACACATACACACACAC